TAGGTTCAGATCCAGTCCAGTGTCCTTTACTCCAATTTGTTTTGCCCGAGCATAAAATTGCTGCAAGCTTTTGGCTTTGGCCATTGCGATTAAGAAATTGTTACTTTTAGGGGGATGTACTGGTAACTTAATTACCAAGAAGTCCACTCAAACCACTGCCATTGTCACTAGACAATAGAAGTCGTGGAGGAGTCGAGGTTAGGAGAATTTAAAGTGACGTTTCACTTATATCACATACGTATTCTAGCCGACATATTATTATAATTGCAAATACAATAATACTAATGTGATATCAGATTTACTAAACGAGTGTACCATAGAAGTTCAATAAATAAAATATCACAGTCACAAATTTATCCCATATATTCATCTTGCAGCTTGTTTGTCTTCATCAATACATCGGAATAGTAAAACTTTATTATTCTTAGCGCGTTCCCTATCATTTGCATATTAGAGCGCCTTGAACAGTTTACCAACAATTTATAGTCACCCCTAAACAGTCCAGATGATTTGGGGATGGGTCAAAACATTCAAGGGAATTGATAACATTTCACTGACTTTGGAAGTAATTCTGTCAGCATTAACACATTCTATGACAATTCAGCGACCTGTTCATCAGGAAGACTATTCTCGTGCGCTGTCAAGTAGAGGTTGGGAAAACGCACGTTGGTAAATGTCTAAAATACATTGCTTTATTCCACTGAATTGCCATGGTCTATGGGATAAAGACAATTATTACACTGCTTTATTACACTGAACTGCCATGATATATGGGATAAAGACAATTATTACACTGCTTTATTACACTGAACTGCCATGATATATAGGATAAAGACAATTATTACACTGCTTTATTACACCAAACTGCCATGATATATGGGATAAAGACAATTATTACACTGCTTTATTACACTGAACTGCCATGATATGTGGGATAAAGACAATTATTACACTGCTTTATTACACTGAACTGCCATGATATATGGGATAAAGACAATTATTACACTGCTTTATTACACTGAACTGCCATGATATATAGGATAAAGACAATTATTACACTGCTTTATTACACCAAACTGCCATGATATATGGGATAAAGACAATTATTACACTGCTTTATTACACTGAACTGCCATGATATGTGGGATAAAGACAATTATTACACTGCTTTATTACACCAAACTGCCATGATATATGGGATAAAGACAATTATTACACTGCTTTATTACACTGAACTGCCATGATATGTGAGATAAAGACAATTATTACACTGCTTTATTACACTGAACTGCCATTGTATATGGAATAAAAACAATTATTACACTGCTTTGTTACACTGAACTGTCATGATATATGGGATAAAGACAATTATTACACTGCTTTATTACACTGAACTGCCATTGTATATGGAATAAAAACAATTATTACACTGCTTTATTACACTGAACTGCCATTGTATATGGAATAAAAACAATTTTTACACTGCTTTATTACACTGAACTGCCATGATATATGGGATAAAGACAATTAGTACACTGCTTTATTACACCAAACTGCCATGATATATGGGATAAAGACAATTATTACACTGCTTTATTACACCAAACTGCCATGATATGTGAGATAAAGACAATTATTACACTGCTTTATTACGCTGAACTGCCATGATATGTGAGATAAAGACAATTATTACACTGCTTTATTACACTGAACTGCCATTGTATATGGAATAAAAACAATTATTACACTGCTTTATTACACTGAACTGTCATGATATATGGGATAAAGACAATTATTACACTGCTTTATTACACTGAACTGCCATTGTATATGGAATAAAAACAATTATTACACTGCTT